TAGGTCCTCATGCTGTGCTACTCAAATTGTGGTCCTCAGTCTGGCATTGCCAATGACAACATCACCTGGGAGCTTATTAAAATTCAAATTCCCAGGCCTTATGCCAGACTTAGAGGATCTGCGTCTCCATGGGTGGGTTCTGGAATCTGTCTTAGGAAGTTCTCCTGCTGGTTCTTATGCATACTAAAGTTTGGGAAACTCAGTTCTTGTTTTTGTTTTCCAAAGCTGGCCAGGCCAGTAGAGCAAGAAACAGATTTACTTTGGGAGTTCCCTCTGTCCTCCTTTCAGAAGCCCCTGTCAAGATCCCCTTTGTCCAGCTCCCAGCTCCCCATCTGCTCGTTCCTTGTACTGACTTGTCATGGTGACATTCATTTGACAAATGTGAAGTTTGACAGTCCTTAGCACCTTGGGAGGCCAACTCTGGCCTGAAGTCAGGAGTTTGAGACCAGCCTGGCTGACATGGTGAAACCCCATCTCTACTAAAGCTATGATACTATGTTAGATATGATACTTTTTTTTTATGTAATTGGACAATAAAGGCCATAAACAGAAAAGTTTTTTTTTAATTTTAATTTTTTATTTCTATTGAGCTCTGCTTCCACTAAATTCTGAAACACTCAGGCAGCCAATATAAGCCAGCACAGTTTAGGGAACCTGTGCTTCGGATGGCACACTCAGTATACCCCATTCCATTTGGAGACATTTTGGAGACAACATGAGGGGGATCTGGAGTCAGTTAAGGAAGCCTTTTGAGTTGAGTTGGTGATTTCCCGACAGCATGACTTTGGAGCCAAGTGGAAAATCAACTATACATTTTTGGCTTCTTAAAAATGTTTAAACACCTTTGTGAAACAGGATTCTGTGAGACCAGGCCTACTGCCTTTTCCAGGTTTTTTGTTTTGTTTTGTTTTGTTTCGTTTTGAGACAGAGTCATGCTCTGTCACCCAGATTGAAGTGCAGTGGCGTGATCTCGGCTCACTGCAACATCTGCTTCCTGAGTTCAAGCAATTCTCCTGCCTCAGCCTCCCGAGTAGCTGGGATTACAGGTGCTTGCCATCATACCCACCTAATTTTTGTATTTTTGGTAGAAATCGTGTTTCACCATGTTGACCAGGCTGGTCTCGAACTCCTGACCTCAGGTGATCCACCTGCCTTGGCCTCCCAAAGTGCTGGGATTACAGGCATGAGCCACCGCACCCAGCCCCACTACTGCCTTTTTCTGTTGGAGCCTCTCTTCCTGGCTTCTCCTGTGGGGATGTTCTTAATGATATCATGCCTGTATCAAGAAAAGAGATGGAAGTAGAGGGACATACACCTCTGGGTGACCAGAGTCACCAGGCTGCTCTGGCCAGAGCTACCTGCTGATGGTGGCAGCTAAATTGGTGAGCAGTAAGGGCCTAGAGCCTTCATGTGGTGGCAGGAGGCACTGTGTGAAGAAAAGGAGAGAGAACATTCCAAGAGCAGCCACTTACGTTGCAAGAAGATGTGGCTGCAGAGCATCCCTGCTGGGGTAGAGACAGCCAGGACTGTCCACAGCTGCCTTTCCAGAAGGGTCCACACCAACGCCAAGGCTTCCAGGATATCTGTCCCACAGAATCCTAAGGTTTTTACTCTCTGTGGTTCGGACATCTTTAGCACAGGAAGCACCCTGAAAGTGTGGTCCCTATCCCTCCCAAATAATTAGAGTGAAGGAAAGTTGAGAATTTCCCAGTTCATCCATTTATTCATTCAGTCAAGGGAACTGTAGCCCAGTTCCCTTGAATGAATGAGTAAATGGATGAATTGGGAAATTCTGGGTGACACAGTGAATGCAAAGGTGGATAAAGGACAGTCCCAGCCTTCAAGGAACCGGCAGGCTACAGGGGGGAACAGATGTAAAAAGACAATTTGAGGATACTATGAAAGGGCCATGGAGTGTGTCTCAGAGCCAGTAGAGGTGGAAGGCTTCTCTGGTGGTATTTTACTTGTTCTTTCTTAGGTGAATAAAGCAGAGGCCACGGGAACAGGATGAACAACAATAATAGTAAACATTTCTATAGTACTAAGTGTGTGTGTGGCCCTTTTAGCCCATAAACTCCTTTAATCCTCATAACAACCCTCTGAGATGGGCACTGCTATTGTCTCCATTTTACAGATGAGAAAACTGAGGCTCAGTGAGGCGAAGGAGCCTGTTCAAGCTCATTCAGCTGGTAAATGGCAGACTGGTTCCAGATCTCAGGCTGTTAGCCACTGTTCAGCATGGCCTCTTGCAGTCTCTACCCGATTCCTGAGAGTAAATTTTAGAGCCAAGTTATAGGTCAAGAAAAGCAAAGCAATAATCATTCTTCTACTTCAGAATTGCTACCAATTAACAATTTATTTTGTGCCTACACCAGATTAAATATCTGAATAAAAATATAAAAACATTAATTGATTAAAAAAATGGCCTCTCATAATGTGCAAACAGGGTCTGTCTGGGAAATTCTGAGAGGTTTATGTGGAGAACAATGGTTCTGAATTTTTTGTAGAAAGAGCAACCTATTTGCCACCCTTTCCCACTTTCCAATGGAAAAGAATCTCTGATAAAGCTTTGATAAGCAACCAATGTAAACAAATTGTACTACACTCTTTTACACATGATTTTATATTATCAAACAATGCCCTATAATGTAAAAACTGTACATTTTAATACCTACCCTGGTGGTAGATGCACACTATTTATACAGAGCACATTCAACAGGCAGCATGTTACCAATGATGCATGACTGTTTACACATGTTGGGGTGTGGGGGTGACTCCTGTCTATAATTACTGTAAGAGTATAGTTAGGAATAATTCTATGTGAACAAACTCAAGTCTTTAAGCCTAATTATTAAAAAATTACAGGTCAAGTACCATAAACTTGCCTATGTGCTGCAAGAGTAATCAAACAGATCTCCACAAATAATGATTTGTAATGAAAAGGCAAGAATAACATCAATAAAAACCGTGGTCACCTGAACCCACACTGATGATATATTGTCAACACAGAGTCTATCCTGGAAGTGGAGGAATTCCAGGCTGATTGAACTTGTTCCTGGGCATGGAGCAGGGTGTCTACAGCACCAAATGACCCCTGGACTTCTCAATAGAACAGTGAATCAGGACCATTAGTGAAGTCTAACTTACTAATACTAAGTGTTGGTAATTTTTTTTTTTTTTTTGAGGCGGAGTTTCACTCTCATTGCTCAGACTGGAGTGCAGTGGCATGATCGCAGCCCACTGCAACCTCTGCCTCCTGGGCTCAAGCACTTCTCCTGCCTCAGCTTCCCAAGTAGCTGGGATTATAGGCACATGCTACCACACTGGGCTAATTTTGTATTTTTAGTAGAGACAGGGTTTCTCTATGTCGGTCAGGCTGGTCTCGAACTCCCGACCTCAGGTGATACACCCACCTTGGCCTCCCAAAGTGCTGGGATTACAGGTGTGAGCCACCGCGCCCGGCCCAGTGTTGGCAATTTTTAAAGACTCATCTTGTAGGTTCATAATAAAATGCCCTTAATGCCGCATACAAATGAGAGTCTATGGATTTGTGCATCCTTTGCTCATAAGAGCTTCAGGGAGTCTGCTCCAAGCCTGCATTCCCTGGCTCTCAGTCGTTAGAAGAGTTCTTTCCTTTTGCCTCGCTCACCCTGCCTGATGAGATCAAATGAAATTCTGGACAGAGGTGATGCCAGTGAGCCAGGGAGCCAAAGAGCCAGGTCTTTATTCTGTGTTAGCTGGCTTCATAGCCGTCGCTCCTGCTCTTCCTTTGGTTGCTTACTGTTCCTGGGAAGAGTTGGTCATATGCCCTGCATCCTCACCATGGTCTCCTCTGGTGACCACTGACCTGCCCATGGTCATGCTCACTGGTCCTCAGCCATGAGGCACAGGGTCAGTAGCTGCTGCCGTCAGCCATCTAGGGACCATGTAAGTGGAACCTGAATCAAAATTATGCTCTCACATCTACCTCTCCTTGCTCTTCCTTTTAGGGAATTTCAACGTGCTTTTTTCCTGAACTGTTTTCATTTCCTCTCTTAAAGCAGTAATTGCTGCCTCCAAACCATTGACCTGAAACAAAAGCTTTTTATTCCACTGTACCGTATTGTAGTATACTTGCAAATGTGGGATGTATAGTTTTTTTGTTTGGTTTTTTGTTTGTTTGTTTGTTTATGAGACAGGGTGTCGTTCTATCACCCAGGCTGGAATACAGTGGTATGATCACAACTCGCTGCAGCCTTGACCTACATGGCTTAGGCAATCCTCCCACCTCAGCCTTCCCAAGTAGCTGAGACTAAGGCATGCACCACCACACCCAGCTAATTGTTTAATTTTTCGTAGAGACAAGGTCTCACTATGTTGCCCAAGCTGGTCTCCAACTCCTGGACTCAATCCTCCTGCCTCCCAAAATTTTGGGATTACAGACATCAGCCACCATGCCCACCTAGGGGCATATGATTTTTATAGCATTTGGAGATTATTGCTGAAGATGATTGGGAGCCATTAAAGAAGGGAGTAACTGAAGAAGAGGCATGACCATCTTTTAAAAACACTTTAATATGGACCAGATGTTAGGTGGTCTTAGAAAGTTTTTTAATTAAATTGCAGTTGCATAGAAAAATGTTCTTAATTTTTAGAGACTCCTACTGACATATTGTTGGGTAAAATACGGTTGTTATTTACTTTAAAATCATTTGATGAAAAATATATGGTGAAATATGGCAAAATGTTCATAATTGTTAAATCTAGATGAGATTACATGGTCATTCATTATACAGTTCACTCTGTTTTTAAATTTTTTTAATAATAGAAAATGATGTAGATATAAATCTCTTTGGGTGTTGGTCTAGAGGGAAGTAGGGAGCCAAGTTAGTGAGGAGGCAAAGGCAGCGATTCAGGCAGCGCTGGTGAAGGGTGAAGCTAAAACAGCACCACTGCAGAGGGAGAGGAGAGTGTGGACTGAAAAGTATCATCTTGTCTGTTGTCTTCCCTCACTCCCACAGTCCAAAGTGCTTCGGGAGAAATGGCTGCTGCAGGGCATACCCGCTGGAACTGCAGAAGAGGAGGAAGCCAGGAGGCGGCAGTCTGAAGAGGATGAGTTCAGAGTCAAGCAACTCGAAGATAACATTCAGAGGTAGGTGGATTCCAGCCAGGGAACCCCTGCAACAGTTTTTTGGTGCAGTAACCACTGCTCTCCTCTAGGTGGCCTTCCTCAATACTGTTACCTTCTCCTGTACTTCACAATTTTCTTGCTAAACAAAACACATTGATGTTGTTTAAACTTTTCCACATGACCCAGAGTTATGACACAGAGTACTAATTATTTTTTATTTTTATCTTTAACTTTTATTTTAAGTTTAGGGATACAAATACAGGTTTGTTACATAGGTAAACTTGTATCATGGGGATTTGTTGAACAAATTATTTCACCACCCAGGTATTAAGCCTAGTACCCGTTAGTTATTTTTCCTGATTCTCTCCCTCCTCCCTCCCTTCACCCTCTGAAAGGCCCCAGTGTGTATTGTTCCCTTCTATGTGTCTGTGCATTCTCATCATTAGTTCCCACTTGTAAGTGAGAATATGCAATATTTGGTTTTCTGTTCCTGCGTTAGTTTGCTAAGGATAATGGCCTCCACCTCTATCCATGTCCCTACAAAGGACATGATCTTATCCTTTTTTGTGGCTGCAAAGAATACTAATTATTGCATTGGGCTGTAATACAGCACAGTGATGGCTTCATGGGCCCATGAGGTGTTGTGAGCAGCTTGCCCCTTCAGGTGCTCCCTTTGAGTTCTTATATTAGCTTTCATCTTTTTCCTCCTTTGGGTCAGGTTGTTAGCTGTAATTGCTGCTGTAGTGAGTCTGTTTTCAACATTGCTATATTTGGTCAATTCGAAATGGGAAAACTGTAGTCAACAGTCTTGGGATTAAAACGAAGAGTGTGGATGTGCTGAGTGAGAGCTCGTGGTTATGTGCCCGTGCTCTACAAATTCACTTTGCATTGTCTGCTTTCACTGCTCAGAGAGTGGTTTCTTTATGGTTCTCAACCAGGATCTGATCATTTCAATCTGGGAAATAAGCGACCTGTCTGTGGCCAATGACTGGCCAGGCTCACACAACAGCAATAATGTAGGTTTTTACTTGGGAGCTATAGCCACGCCAGGTCCCAGGATACCTAGCCAGAGAGATATGAGATAGGGATGGAAAGTGGTACACATAGATGCTTTAGAACCAAATCTATCCCTCCAACCCATCCCACCAAATTCTGCCTGAAATCTCACCATCTGGAGCTTCATCTCTGTCTTCTAAGCTTATGAGCTCTCTCTCTCTCTCTGTCTTTTTTTTTTTTTTTTTTTTGAAGGAATCTCACTCTGCCGCCAGGCTGGAGTGCAGTGGCACGATCTCGGGTCACTGCATCCTCCGCCTCCTGAGTTCAAGCAATTCTCCTGCCTCAGCCTCCCGAGTAGCTGGGACTACAGGCACCCGCCACCACGCCCAGCTAATTTTTGTATTTTTAGTAGAGACAGAGTTTCACCATGTTGGCCAGGATGGTCTTGATCTCTTGACCTTGTGATCCGCCCGCCTCGGCCTCCCAAAGTGCTGGAATTATAGGCATGAACCACTGTACCCAGTATGAGCTCTTTTAAAATACAAAGGGTAATAGCTAAACTGCTACCAGCCACTTACAACCAACAGCAAATGAAGACTCTGAGAGCACCTGTAATAGTGTCACTAAAGGGAAAAGCAAGCTGAGTAAATCCCAAAGGCATACTTCAGACTATGTCCCTACTTTGCTTAGGTCCTCATGCATTTTAAAGAGCTTTCAGAGCAGCTTGGCTAAACATTGTTTGTGAAGGAAACCAGCCAAGCAAAAGTTTGGAGGGTTTGTATATACAAATACATATATATACTCACACACACCCATGTACATGCACGTGCTTTTTCTTAGAATACAAAGGATAAAGGCTAAACTGTTACCAACAATTTATATCATACATATGTATATTATATGCATATATATATAGAGAGAGTAGGTGTTATTATAGACAGAAGGCAGAAAGGATTTGGAAAATAGGATAAAGTTAGTTACATGACCTTTCCTATTTTTCTTTTTGTTTCTTTTTTTAAAGACATAAGGTCTCACTCTGCCGTCCAGGCTGGACTGCAGTGGTGCAATCATAGCTCACTGCAGCCTCAAACTCCTGGAATTAAGCTCTCCTCCCACCTCAGCCTCTCAAATAGCTGGGAATAAAAGCTCATGCCACTGTGCCTGGCTTTTTTTTTTTTTTTTTGGTAGAGAAAGAGTCTCACTATGTTGCTTAGGCTGGTCTTGAACTCCTGGCTTCACATGATTCTTCCCTCTCAGCCTCCCAAAGTGTTGGGATTACAGGCGTGAACCAAAGTGTCCATCCTTTTTTATTTTTCTTAAATGGCATTGGGAAACATGGTCTTCCAATCAAATTGGCAGTTTAACCTTGGCTTGAATGCAAATATGTTGTTATTATGGTCCAATAGGTGGTAACTTGCACTTGTAGAATGAGCCATTGCATGTGGAGGCTAGAGTTTTAAACTGAGACTCAGTTTTTGGCTAAATCGACCATTGGAATGAGGTGTTGCAAGTTAGGGGCTGGTTTATTGTTCAGGTGGTCATAATCATACTCAGAAAAAAATTAATAAAGGTCTTTTTATTCTTTAAGTCAATGGAATAAAGAGCTCACTCAATGTATGCAGGCAGTCTTGCCCATTAAGAGCTGGAATCCCAAGCCAGAGGAAGGAAATCACAATAGCCTACAGGGGTGTATGGTGAGGTCTGGATTCAGGGGCCATTTCTTCTGTCCTAGTCATGACTTTGGGCCAAATGGGCACTGGATGTGTGCTGGGATGAACTGTGCTCCCTGGAGCTGCTTTCTGTAGGAGCAGGACTGTGGTGAGCATCATTTCCTCTGCAGGGCCTCCTGAGGGAGGAGTTTCTTCCTACCCTGGAAGTCAGCTTCTGCTTCTCTTCGTCTTGCTGGCATCTTCTCTACCACAATGTTTATTAGTGTCTTTAATCTTCAATCCTATGGGAAGAAACAGCTGTTATCTCTCTTCCCATAAAGGACATTCAGTCACCTAAGACATTTCCCTGTAGTTGAACATAGCTTAGTTCTCACTCACAGAATGACATTTGAATAGTTCTAAAGGCTCATTGCAAACATGAGTACCCTACAGTGTTACAAAGTCCCTGTGGATTGCCTGGCATGGCTCTGCTGATAGGGCTGAGCTCACCTAAGTGACTCCAAGCTGCATGTTGCCTGAGTCCACTCTTGTTTACCCTGCACTAACAGGCTAACCATGATGCTGTCTCTTTCTGGCAATGGGAGAGGTACAAGAGGACTGAACAGAAACAAGGCCGAGGCTCAGAACTGCCCACAAGCCATCTGCCAAACCAAGTCAATGAGCAAGCCCAAAACCAAGGGAGGAGACAGCCAGCCAACTTTTAGTGGAAGGAACACAGATCAGGGAAGGGTGAAGAATAGGGACGAATAATTCAGTCTTCCAGAAGCATGATTGTTGAATTGAAAACTTCATGCATTTGGGAAAATGGACTGGCATTAGAGAAACTACAGAAAAGCCATTTAAAAAGAAAGAGGACTGGTTGGGCACGGTGGCTTATGCCTGTAATCCCAGCACTTTGGGAGGCTGAGGCAGCTGGATCACCTGAGATCAGGAGTTCAAGACCAGCCTGATCAACATGGCAAAACCCCATCTCTACTAAAAATACAAAAATTAGATCAGTGTGGTGATGCGCGCCTGTAATCCCAGCTACTCGGGAGGTTGAGGCACAAGAATCGCTTGAACCTGGGAAGCAGAGGTTGCAGTGAGCTGAGATCATGCCCCTGCACTCCAGCCTGGGCAACACAGTGATACTGCATCTCAAAAAATAAAAATAAAAATAAAGAGGACTAACTACAACAATGCAAGAATGCAGAGAGAAAGGAAGAAGAGAGTAAGAGAATATAAGTGACTTCAAGATCAAAGTTGCGATCTGATCTTTATATAATAGGAATCTTGAAAAGTATAAGATCAGATACAGAACCATTAAATAAAGGAATTTTAAGGGAAACCTTTACTCAAAGCAAAACATTAATCTGTAGATCTTTAGATTTGGGCCCACTAGTCTAAGTCACCCCCAGCAATCAATTAGATTTTCCTAAAGAGATACATCAACTGTTTGCAATCTATAAACTATATTAGTACAGTTGTGCCCTGAAGGTATTTTCATCCTTGTTGTTGAACTAAGAATAGCTTGAAGACACTGAAGGAGAAATAGAGAATGGTAACCAAAGAACAAGGAACATTTCTACAAAAAATGACTAAGGGAAATTGGGTCATTTAGTTTAGATAACAAAAAGATAATGGTATCATAACTCAGAACTTCAGGTGTAGGTAGGATCTAGGTCATTCTTTAATTCTTTATGTGTAGGCCATTTTGAATATAGCAAAGACTTCAAATAAAGCATGCAAATTTCTACTTAGACAGATGTCTATTTCCCTAGGTACCTCCTAGAAGAAAGAACATAATCACCTTTTAATTCTAATTCTGTGATTCTTTACAGTGCCAGTAACTGTACAAGAAGTTCCAGGTTTACAGACATGTTTTTTTTCCAAAATGTTATTTATAAATTGGTGGTGGTTTGGAAGGGTGAATGTTGTTTTTCTGCCAGAATTATTATATGTGGTGCTTAGCTTTTGAGGGCAGCCCACAAAGAAGGAAGGAATGGAGGAAGGAAGGATGGAAAAATGTAACTAGGATATTAAACCCTGGGCATTAGAATCACTTGGGAAGGTTTTAAAAAATAGGAATTACCAGGCCTCATTCTAGGAAATTTGGATTTAGTGACCCAAGTAAGGAGTCCTGTAATCTGTTTTTTAAAAGGGCATTCCAGATAATTCTGTTGTATAGTCAGGTTCAAGAATGATTGCTGTAAATGGAAAAATGGATAGATCATAAATGAAATCCCATTTTTAATACCTAGAAACCCCCCAGGAGAGGGGGAAGTAAATCATGTTTATGAGAAAACTGGCTTCACACACAAGGATAAAGGACATCCCAACCCTTGATTCAAACTGTTTCTGAGCCTTCCTACTTTG